ATTGTCAATTGATGAGTGTTAAGCCACGAGCCCGAGCCCTGTGCTGGTTGCTCACTCCCTTTCTTCTTACCTCACATCTCCGAGTGCAAATGATCCCCTATGTCTTACCTCCTCCCTTGCCCCGCACTCCGTGGCTCGTGGCTGGCGTTGCTCGCGCTGCCCATTCGACAAGCAGGGGTTATGTTGCAGACTGCGATCTCATGCAACGGCACGGGGAACAAATGCAATCGCTCCCAAGCGTAAGCTATGAATCCGCCCATTCCTTCCTCGACTTCGTTTCAACCTCATCCTCAATATCACGAATGCCTCTTTCTTTCTTTCTGTGTTGATTCTGCTCTCTGCATTCCCTACCTAGCTCTGCCTAGAAAGGTTCTTACTCTCTATGCTTAAAGGGCCGGGCAATGTAAAACGCCCCAGGCGGCCCCCCCGGTTATCTTAGCTTAGCTTACCTTCATCTTAGCTTCGCTGAGCGCTAGCATAGCAGAGCACAGCATAGCATAGCGGAGCGTAGCATAGCATAGCGCAGCACAGCCATAGCATAGCGCAGCATAGCATAGCAGAGCATAGCATAGCGCAGCACAGCACAGCACAGCATAGCAGAGCGCAGCAAAGCATGGCATAGCATAGCATAGTGCATTGCATAGCATAGCAGAACATAGCATAGCAACTAATGCTGCTTTCCTAGGGGCTCCAACTTCTAGGTGGGGTCGCGCCGGGGTAATTCCCCTATATCTTCCGCTCCCCCCCCCCGCCGCCCCGCCCGCAAGGCGGTTCGCGAGGGGCGCCTGCGCCGCCAGCTGCAGCCGCCGCGCGAGAGACCCAGCTCGCAGGCCAAGGCCAGCGAGGCGCCGACGACGAGGATGGCGAGGGCGGGGGTTGAGGAGGAAGGGCCGGGATAGCCATGAAGTGGCGGAATAACGAGATGAGGGGGAGGGAGGTGAGCAGGTGACATAGGAGGAGAACGAGGAGGAGGAGGAGGAGGAGGAGGAGGAGGAGGAGGAGGAGGAGGGGGGGGAGGAGGAGGAGGAGGAGGAGGAGGGAGGAGGATGGGGGAGGGGGAGGAGGGGGTGGAGAGGAGGAGGAGGAGGAGAAGGAGAAGAAAGAAGAGGGGGATTGGGAGGCTGGGGGGAATGGCGCGGGCGCGATGGGCGGCACGGCAGAGGAGATAGGGAGGGGGCAGCGGGGGAAGTAGGACGGAGGAGGATGAGCAGAATGAAGAGGAAGAAAGTGATGAACCCGAGAGTGTTCAACAGGCCGGCTTCCACGTGGGCCTCGAAACTCGCGGTGGCGGCCTCGAATGTGCGGTTTGCCCGCAGACCGCCCTCGCAATTGCCCGGGGCCCCGGGCCCCCCGAAACGCAAACCTTGAGCCCCCCGCGGCCTTTTTGCCCGAGGCCTCGAGATGGCCCAAGAGGGGCCCAACGCCACAGAGCACTCGAAGGTCCAGCCAAGATGGCACCGCGAGGGGGTGAGCAGGGCCCCCGAGGGGCGCCGAGAATTGGAGCTACCCAGTCGGGTTACGGATGTCTCCCAAGAGTAGCTGAAAATATTATCCCCCCCCTCGCCCTCCCCCATCGACCCCCCCATCCGCCGGAGTCTCGCGACTGTCCTGGGCGGCCTCGAGACCCCGAGCCCCGTCGAACATTTACAGGGCAAGGCGCTTGCCCGAAATAGAAAAAGTTGGCCGAAATATCCCAGCGAGCTCTCGAGACTTGTCTGTTCGCAAATATCTGCTGCATTCCCTCCTGGTTCGTTCTCGACCGCCCTCCATGCGCGCGGGGCCCGCGCCTGCCGATGCGTTTCTCTGGGTGCTTCTCCATGCATATGCGCAAAGCGCCAGGAACTGCTGAAAGCGAGCCCCGAGCCCCCCTGTTGTGCTTCGCCCTATCCGTCCTTCTCTATCCTCCTCCGATCCTCCTCCTCCTCCTCCTCCTCCCCCTCCTCTTTCTTCTCTCCCTGCACCTCCACCTCCCTTTCCTTCCCCCCCCCTCCTTCTCCCTGCCTCTCTTCCTGTCCTCCTCACTCGACCCCCCCCTGTTCGCTCACGGGGAGGGCTGATCCGCCCCTGCCCCCGCCCTGGCCACGAGGCCATCGCCCCGAGCGCGGGCGCCTGCTGCTGTCGACGCGTCGGGTTCCGCGCAGGAGCCATCGGGCCCCGAGACCGCGCCCCAAATCATGTATTTCCCGATGGACCTTCACTCGGGCCTCGTGGGCCCCGTTGAATGTCGAATCCAAGGCCCCCTTTGAGGGCCGCTGATTTTGTTCCGCCGCCCCCCAGGAGGGCCCGCTACGTCGAGCACGGGGGCGACCCCTACGCGAGTGCGACGCTGGAACGTGTGGGGTGTGGTAAAATATGGTGGCACGACGCAGTGGACATGGCGGCCGCTGCGAAAGCAGTTGGGGCGAACTCACCAGCCGTAGAGTGGATGTCCGCCCTGTCCCACAGAGACCCCTCGAACGTGGACCGCGACATGGACAGGTGGTTAGCTGATGCGTCATTCAATTTACCGCTGGATTCTATCCATGCTGCCTTCGGTTGGCAACCCCCATCCACAGCTAAAAGCGAGGGCCCCGGGGCGCGGGGTTTCGACAGTAGTCCCCACCAGCTCGCCCAGAAACGATGCCAATACACTTGCAGTAAGCGCGTGGGCGTTGGCAGAGTTGGCTCGTCTGGAAGGGGGAGATTCGCGGCGCGCTGGCACAGCCCGCGAAGGGCGATTGGATCTGGGTACCGCTGCGAGAGCCTGGCAAAAAAACATGTGAAATTAACTGAGATTTACTTGCTCCCCCCGTCGAGGCTCATCAAATACATATCGCAGCGCGGGCCGGAGAGATTTCAAGAGAGCCTCTTAGGGGATGATGGGGACCGCGGGCTTCAATCATTTTGGGACGGCGTGTGCGCGTGGGAGCCGTATAAGAAGCACGAAGTTTTGTCGGAACTAGATGCATCCCAACGCAACCGCCTCTTGCCATTGTTTATCTTCGTAGACGGCTACGAGGTCCACAGGCGGAGTGAATTTTATGCATTTTTATGGTGCTCTGGCACGGTGAGGACGAACTCATCTTATGATTCGGTCTTTCCAATTGCTGCGGTGAGACACGCTTGCATGCCGACAGTTGAAATCAAACGAATGGTCTTCTGGGAGATCTATCGTTATATTGCATCGGATTTTGCGTGGATGAGGACTGGCTTGGCCCGAGATAATGGGCCGCTCACAAGCGACGGAGGCCGCGGCTTCGCCATTCCGATTGAAGGTTGCGCGGGGGAGGGAAGGGCGATGGGGAGGGGGGGGGGGGGGGGGGGGGGCGAGAGGAGGGGTGGGAGGTGTGTGTGTGTGTGTGTGTGTGTGTGTGTGTGTGTGTGTGTGTGAGTGTGTGTGTGTGTGTGTGTGTGTGTGTGTGTGTGTGTGTGTGTGTGTGTGTGTGTGTGTGTGTGTGTGTGTGTGTGCGCGTGTGTGTGCGTGTGCGTGTGTGTGTGTGCGTGCGGGGGGGGGCAGAAGAGGGCGGAGGAGGAGGAGGAGGGGGGGGGTGAATGGGGGGGAGGACTGGGAAGGAGGTGGCGGAGGATGATATAGATAGAAGGAGCGAGCGAGGGGCACTCAGGAGAGAAAAATAAGGGCCGCAAAGACGACGCCGAGAACTTGCCATCCTGAAGTTGGTTGCGGATAAGATTGGGGAGGCATCTCAATGCTAGACCGTTCGGGCCCTCTCGCGAAGCCACCCCGGCCTTTCCTTCCCTGGCCCCCCCCCTCTCTATTTCGTCTTTCTTCTCCTCTTCCTCTTTCTGCTCCTCCTCGCCCCCCCTCCAACCTCCTGCCCTCCTTTCTCTTCTCCTTCCTCCTTCCTTTTTTAATGGAATTTCATGTCGGCGAGCCCTGTGATTTGCTCGTCTGCGGACGAGCTGGCGTATTCATGGCTTGTTTCGCTGGGAGCAAAGCCGACTTGAAAGCTCGCAAGGAGGTTTTTTTTTTTTTTTTTTTTTTTTTTTTTTTTTTTTTTTTTTTTTTTTTTTTTTTTTTTTTTTTTTTTTTTTTTTTTTTTTTTTTTTTTTTTTTTTTTTTTTCTCTAGTTTTTGGCAGTGCAGTAAGATGTGTGACAGGTGCGGCGCAAACAATACCCACTTGCATGCTGACGCGTCGCTTCTGTATACAGATTTCAACGATAGCGCTGGCCATCTTCAGACAGCGCTGTCGCACGAGAGGTACTTGGCAACTTGTCCTGCTGACTTGATGTCGCCTTTGAGTCAAATAGTTGGTTGGCGCATCGAGCTCAATCTGTTTGATGACGCCCATGATTTATTCCTCGGGATTGTCCGGGATATCATGCCATCGGCGCTCCTAGACCTTATCTTTGAAGGTCTTATCGGTGATGCAACGCAAACCACTGATCAACATTTGTTGGATGAATGGGAGAAGGTGCACGAGTGGTGCAAGTCGCTCCGGCTGGCTTACCCGAAGGTCGGGGAATGTAGTCGTCGGCCGCCGTCGCCCAGTCGTTTTGTTATGTCTGATTTTCGGGCCCTGGGATCGACCGCGCGAAAACGAGGTGCCCCCCCCATGTTTCGCCCCCCCTCGACAGGGCCCCGGCTTCTCGCTGACATCGTTTGGGAAAGACAGGCTCAACGACCAGAACTACCCTGAACTGAGCAGCGCTTTCAAGGCCGTCAGCGTCAAAGCTCTTGTTTTCTTCGTGAGCGATCGTTGTGGCAAATTGTGCAGTGGGAGTGCCAGGAGCCGCATGAGGGCGACGCTTCTCAAGGCTCTCTCATCATGCATATCTCTCTTGGGCAAAAATGGGCCGATCTTGTCGTGTGAAGACGCTGCCGAGGCGAAGAAGTACGGCATGGTTACATTGAAATGCAACGCCTGGCTCTGTGATGACAGCACTCGTAAGAATTTGTTTCTTTGGCGCCTCAGGCAGAAAGATCATTATTGGCAACGCACTTTGATGGATCTGCCCCGTAGTCGCATGAATCCGCTGTGGTTTGACACGTTGCGAGAGGAAGATTTTTTAGGTAAGTGGAAGAGGTCAGGGCAACGGACCGACCCTCGGAGCTCGTCTAAGTTGATATATCTTGCTGCCGCGTCCGCCAAATCCTCGTCCATCCTTCAATTTCCTCTTCCCCACCTTGGCTCTCCTCGTCATTCCCGTCCTCGCTCCAACGTAAGTACGGGGAAGGCGCGCTCACGCCTCTTTGGCCCCCTGGGGCCGGCGAGTGCTGAAACGTGCCCTGCTCCTGATTGGACAGCGATGGAGCGAGCGCCGCTTTGTCTGCCGGCCTCTGCAATATTCTACGGGGTGACTGTAATGCTTGTTAGTGTTCGGTCGTTTTCACTGCTGCGAAGGGCGCAGGAGTCAATGACGTGCAAGCTGTGATTCGTCCGTGGTTGGATCGAACGAAAAATAAGTTGAGGCTTTCGGCCCATCCCGCCATCGCCCCTGGTTCTTGGGAACATTGGGGCCCTTGGGGATCTGGGGGGCCTGTGGAACCTAGGGAATCCTTGGGATCTCGGGGGTCTCTTGAGGTTTTGGATCCTGGGGACCTTGAGGGGTTCCATAGGATCTTGGGGACCTTGGGATATTGGGGAACATGGGTCTCTTAAGTCTTGGGATATTCGGGGTCTCTTGAGTCTTGAGGGTTTGGATATTGGGGGCCTTGGGGATCTTGTGGTCTTGGGGATCTTTGGGCCTTGGGTTCATGGGGATCTTGAGGGCCTTCGAGCCTTGGGATCTTTTGGGGTATATCGGGGATCTTGGGGGTCTCGAGGGTTTCCTGGGTCTCTGAAGGTTTCCTGGGGAATTTGGGGATCTTGGGGGTGTCGGGGGGTCTCGGGGGTTCCTCTGCCCTCCGTGCCCTCTCTGTGCGGCGGCGGTGCCCTCCTGGGCCCCCCCCGCAATCTTCCTGGCCCTTCCCGCGCGGCCTCGGTCGATGCCGCGCCGGGGAGGACGAATGGGGGACAGAAAGGCACGAGGAGGGAGGATGTCGAGGATGACAAGGGGGAGGAGGATAAGGAGGATAAGAGGAAGGGGCAAGTCAGGGGGATTATTGGAGGAGGGGGGCCATGCAGAAAAAACGGAGTCGACGAACGCGGGAGGGGCGCGGGAGATCGAAGAGCAACATTGAGGGAAAACAGGAAACGAGGAATCTATGATAACGAGAGAGGAAAAGTGGGAGAGGAAGGCAGAGGAGGAATGATGATAAAATTTTGGTTGAGCTGCTGCATTCTCAAGCGCGCGACGCTGAAAAACGCGTGATGGATCATGTGCGATTGCACCGTGCTCTACATTAAACAACCAAAAACACGAATATGCGAGCGCGAACAACTTCGCACAACGAAAACGAAAAACATGGTATATATGCCTTTTGTTGGTATGTATGTTGTTTGTGGACGACACTGGTCGTCCAAAGTGCATGCGTTGGTCTCTCTCGGCAGACTGCGAACGCCCGGCGCCTGGGTCGCCAGCCCGCGCTGCGGCAGAGCCAGGAGCTCTCGGATAGGGGGCCCTCTCTGGTCCTCGGCGGGCCATCCGCCTCGGCAGGATCAGGTCGCTGCATGTGCGTTGACAACGCTGGCGTGCTCTCCTTCGACGGCGACCTAGTGGGCCGCGCCGTGGCGGAGGCCCAGAGGGACTTTGACGCCGACGCGCTGCGCTTCCACGAGATGGAGGTTTTCGGCCACGGCGGGCCGCCCTCGGGCTGGCACCTGGACGGCGATGCCCGAGTCGCCCGGCCCAGTGACAAGCGCTTTGCCTTGGTGCGCCGTGGCGTCCAGGCACTGCTTCGGTTGAGGAAGGTCTCCGGCTGGCAGGTCGAGGCCGTCCTCGGACACGTTGCTTTCCTGTGCTTGATGCGTCGGGAGCTCGTCTCGATCTTCCACGCGGTGTATCGTTTTGTTCGGGAGTCTTACACGAAGTTCCAGCGGCTTTGGGGCTCGGCTCGGGAGGAGCTCAGCGCTTTCCTCGGGGCCAAGATCTTCGTCGAGGCCGACTGGGGCCTGCCGTGGGCGCCCTGCGTCTACGCCAGCGACGCGAGCCTCCGCGGCTTCGGCGTCTCCCAGTCCCTCTGGTCGCGTCGGGGCGTGGCCGAGGTCGGGCGCGTGCCAGAGCTCAGTCGCTACCGGCTGGGCGGCGCCCGGGCTCGGGGGCACGCCTTCGAGGTCGCCGGCTTCGAGGTGGGCCCCGAGTGCGGCGACGTGGAGCGCGACTTCCTCGGCTGGCCCGTGCGGCTCGACACGGGGGCGAGGGGGGTCCTGGAGGCGGCGCGCTGGGAGCGCAATGCGGATTGTGCTGAAGTGCCCAGCCGCCCCCTTGCGGGCGACCGCTGGCACGCTAGTCTCGCTGAGCGTTGGCTCCGTGCCGACGACATCTTCCGCCTTGAAGCCAGGGCGGCGGTCAAGGCCGGAGCTCGCGCCCTGCGCATCGGGGCCGTTAAAAACTGTCGTGTCCTCTTGCTCGGTGATAACTTGGCCATCGCATTTTGTTTCGCTCGGGGGAGGTCGAGGGACTACGCGGTGCTTGTGCAGCCAGGGCGACTCTTTAGTTTGGCCCTCGCTCGGAATGTCCGACTTTGGCACCTGTTCCACTCCTGTTTGCCCGTAGGGGCCAGGAGGAAAACAGGCGGGTAGCAGACCGATCGTCACCCTTGTTTGCCCGTAGGGAAGGGGGGGGAAAATTGCGCTCGTCGCCGCGGCCACCTATGGAGTAGGTGGTGGGTAGGTTGGGCGTCGGAGCACGGCTCCGGCGCCCCCTACCCCGAACAGGGAGCGCGGAGCACGGTCTCCTTGCGTTCCCTGTTTGCGCATTGAGCACGCCGCGGGGGCATGGCCCTGGACCGTTGGCGCTGCTCCTCTTCGGCCCCCTGCTCGTCTCCTCAGCAGGTGGGCGTCTGTTCCTCTCTGTGAGGTCTTTGGGGCGCATGGAGCCTAAAAAAAATAAAGGGATGTCCGGCTTTATTTCCGATGGACCCCCAGCGAATTCAGTTTGGGGGGCGAGGGGGGCCGAATTAACGATACCTTGTATGACGAGAAGACACTTGTTTCTCACCTGGGCACCGAGCTGTCACGAGCGGGGCCCGAGCCTGAGGATAGTCAGGCCGATCCCCCCCCCCACCTCGAACCTCCTCCTGAGCCATTTGGGCTCCAGATCTGCTCGTCAGGCCGACTCTGCTTCCGCGCCCAGCTTCAGCCAGACCGAGGCTGTCAGAGCCGCAGATGGACCGACGCCGGCGGCTGCCGTCGGCTCCCGCCTGCCCTCCAGGCGGGCGCCCGCCCGCGTCGTCGGCCCCTGCGCGCAGTCGCTGCTTGACTGCATCCCTGGCTCGGCCGAGCTCGGAGGGACAGGCGGCCCGCGTGCGTGCCCTGGCCCTGGAGCGAGCTTTGGCCAGCCGCCTGGCGATGTGCAGCCGTGCCCTGGAGCAGGGCCAGCCCGAGCGTCTCGCGGGCCCCGCTCGACCCCAGACGACGGGGGCTTTCCTGGGGCAGGCGGCGAACGAGACCCCCGACAGGTGGGCCAGGGCGCCGGGCCCGGCCGGCCGAGGCGCCCCCGCGGACGCCGAGGGCGAGGGCGGCAGCGAGAGCGACGACTCCTCGGATCCCGAGGAGAGGGCGGCGGCAGCGGCCCGCCAGAGGGCCATGCGCCGGCGCGGGGAGAACCTCGTGCGCCAGTGCCTCGGCGCTCTGATGGGCGTGGCACTCCTGGGCGCGCGGCCGACGCCGCTGGAGGCCCGGTCCGTGACCGATGTAGCTGCTACCCAGTACCGCCAGCGCGTCTTCGCCTTCTTGAGCTGGGGCCCCTTCTTAGAGACGGCGTTGGAGGGGCCCGCGCGCCTGGGCGCCGCCCTGGCCGACTTCACGAACTACGAGCTCGAGCAGGGCAACAAGAGCTGGAGGGGAGAGAAGATCCTAGCGGGCATCATCATCCACTCGCCGCGCTACGGGAATAACGGCTACGACAAGCTGCCGCGCACCCTGCGCGCGTTGAAGGGATGGTGCAGAGCCTCCCCATCTCGCTCGAGAAGGCCGTTGACAGTGGGCATGTGGGTGTCCATTGTAGTGGAGATCGCGAGGCTGAGTTTCTTGATGGCAGCAGTGCTAACCTTGATCATGGTAGAAGGGTACCTGCGCCCAGGAGAGATGCTGGGCCTGACGCTGGCATCTTTCTTGCCACCCGCCCCCGGCGGGGTGGCTACGTGGGTCATCTTGCTCTTCCCACGGGAGGGCAACCTGCGGTCCGAGACCGTCGAGAGCGACGACAGCATCCCGCTGGGCTCCAGGAGGTTCGGCTGGATGAAGGCGATCTACCAGGTTCTCTCCAGGCGCCCCCAGGGCTCCGAGCGCCCCCTGGATTGGAGCTACCGCGAGTACGTGAGCGTCTTCAGGTGCGCTGCCGCCAACCTGAACTGGGCGGTGGTGCCATATCAGGGGCGCCGCGCGGGGGCCAGCGCCGACCGCGCCGAGAACCTCAGGACTCAGGAGCAGGTGATGAAGCGCGGGGGGTGGCAGGCTCTTGGGAGCGTCAGGAGGTGCGAGAAGGCCGGGCGCGTCAACCAGGCGTGGCGGGAGCTAGACGCCGAGGACCAGGACCACGTCTGGCTCTGCATGAGGATGATCGAAGGGATCTTCTTCCGCGGGGACGCGGCGCCGACGCCGCCGTACTTCAGACGTGGAGCGGAAACCGGCCCCAAGCGTGTCAGGCGCTCTTGACTGCGCCGAGGAGATACGTGCTCGATCTTTTCGGCGGCGGCGGCGGGCTCTGCCGTGCCGCCGCGCGCCGGGGCCTCCCCGTAGTCAGTTTGGACTTGCGGAATGCTCCTGGCCAAGACTTGACGACAGAGGTGAATGTACGTTTGCTTCTTAGGCACCTTGCAGACGGCAAGGTGGTGGCAGTGATGATGGCGCCGCCGTGCGCCACCTTTCTAGTCGCGCGCAACAGGCATCCTGTGCGCGATGCTCTGCGCGTGCGAGGCCAGCCCAATCTGTCCCCTCTCGATGCATATAAGGTGAAGGTGGGAAACGCTTGCTTAGATACCTGTATACTTGTCTTGCGGGCCTGCCGGAGGCATGACGCCCCTTGTGCCCAAGAGACCCACAGACTTCAAGGCTGTGGGCTGACCCGTCGCTGAATCGAGCTGTGCCGAACCTTGAGAGAGTGATTATCCACCAGTGCGCTTTTGGCACCAGATATCGTAAGGCAACCGACCTCCTCTTTCTGAATGTGTCCGAATTTGATCTTCTGAAGATGGAGTCCTGGAGATACCGCTGTAGCGGGAAGCACGGGTTTTACAGTTTCAGGCTAAATATGAAGCAGCCTGCCCTTGTAGGTAGTTCGATGACTAGCAAGGCTGCTGCCTACCATTCCAGGCTCTGTAATTTTCTAGCTAGCACCCTCCTTCTGGGGCCCGAGCCCCCGTAGGTT